AACCAGAACCAGCCGAGCTCTCAGCACGTTGTCGAATCTGTGGCAACCCACAACATCAAGCCGACACGTGCAGAATCAAGAGCGACAAATTAATCTGCCATCGCTGCAATAATCCTGGTCATTTGGCTTACGTATGTACGTCTAAGACGCCTACATCTTCACCGTCGAGCAATAGGCGACAACCAACTCCGAGATCTACGGCTAGGGTCCAAATGGTTATTAATGGACGTAAACTACATGGTCAACCCCAACGTCTGGTTTGTACGGCTTCTCCATCGTCTGGTCAAGATGCGTCAAGGGCTACTAGTCCTTCTCTCATGGTGATTGGTAACATCTGTGTTGAAGACAACGTCATACCAGCACTGTTCGACACGGGAGCAGAGGTTTCCCTCATCTCAAGACAAGCACTTCAACGACTGGCCCCCACTGCAGAAATCTACACCAACTCTGCCCATCACATTATAGTGGCTGACGGTGGTGCTTTGAACGTCGACGGTATCGTCATGCTCAAGGTCTCCACCAACCGTATTACGATCTACGACGAGTTCATCGTGGTGTCTGATGACTTATATGTCCCGGTACTACTTGGTTGTCCTACCATGGGTAAGTTACGCACCACCATCCGCGTCAGCCCACACGGTATGCATGTTACTACTAACGACGAGCACGACTTCAGCCCTTACTCGGCTCCTAAAGAAGTACGGTTCAATGACAACTACTCTACAGCTAACCAGCTGGAGAAAGACCAACAGGAGATCACGGCTATGTACGTGATCAACCATATACGTCAACTATTCCTACTTCAAGACTCTGGTACCGAGCCATCTGAAGCGGATCTACACAAGGCCCTTTTCCCTACGACGAGGACTTACCCAGACGACTTGTTTGTGGGCCAGGCCGACTGTAGCCAATCGGGAAAAGATCCTACGACGAACGACTACTATGTTCACTATACTTCTACTGCATCGACGAGAACATCCCCCAACGTGGATTTGGCTACCCCCCACCATGACGAGAACCACGACAACGACGATGTGGTAGACAACAACTCCGACGACAATCTACCTCCTTGGGATGTCCTCTTACGTCATTGGATGTGGGATGCCAAGGCACCCCTAGGTAGAGTATGTGTACGGTTACCCTGGTTGGGAGAAGAACGTCCACCTAACAACTTCAATAACGCTGCACATCGTGGTACTGCT